CTCGCCTATGGGGCTGTTGACCAATTGGTGGGGGAGCTGCGGGCGAGGAGGGAAGGCATTCTCAGCTCTAGGACTGAACTGTTAAAGGGAGCTTGTGGGCAGGCTGAAATGCTTGCTAAGTGACCACCTGGATTGACGTGTTGAGGGGAAGTGAGAGAAACACATCAATAAAGAGATAGGTTGAGTCTGATCACTGACACCCGTGGACCTGGTTCACTAGAGGAGAAAACCGAGAGCACAAATATGATTTACTTTTTAAAAAATTATGTATGGCTAAAGAGTTGTGTGAATGTGTCAAGTTGACAAGGGGTGGTCTGTGGTAGCTATTTAATCTGTCTACCTGTCAAAGAGTGGAGTCTAGCCTGTCAACCAGGTCCCAACTTGATAACCTCATTTGGAGGTGTGACAGACATAAATAGCTTCACTGGAGGCCAGCCTCTCTCTCTCTCTGCTGCACATTTCTGTTGACAAGCCAGATAGAGATACACTGATGGAGCCAGCGTCCTGGAGCTGGAGGAGCCATGGGGAGACTCATGCCAATGCTGAGATGCTTCCATCCCCACTGGATCCACAAGACTTTCCACCCACTGGCCTGTGATCTTCCTATATTCAGAGTCATTGCATGTGTTGTATGAGTCTTTAAGAGGAATTTATAGACTGGTATTGGATATATGGGTTAACTTATGGATTTGATCTGGACTGGGATAGGAGGTTTTCTTATTATATAATTACTCTTTACATAAAGCTCTTTCTTACATACATATGAGTGTCTATGAATTTGTTTCTCTAGTCGACCAGACTAACACAATAGTTATCAATGGGGAAATTATTTTAGTTTATTTTGTATCCCAATAAGCAGAGAATCTTACACCTAAGAGGGATAACAGCATACATTTGTTATGACTATTTATTAAGAGGCCTATAAACTCATTTAATCTGTTTAATGTCTGCAGATAACTTGATGAGTCTCATTATTGCATTCAACTCATCTCTTAAAGATGTGGCTTTATCATGACAGACCTGGTGAGCATCAAGTAACAGAAACCCTGAGTAGCAGGGACCCTAGGGAGGGGCACTCTCATACCATCATAGAGTTACTGGGAATGAGGATCGCTATCAACATGAGAAACAATCGATTGCATCTTGCATCTCCTATTTCTAAGACAGAAAATTTGGATGTCCTTCTTTAATCCCCGAAATAAACACTATACCAATGACAACACAAATCTGAAGGATACTTAAAGTTAGATGATGTTCTTGAGCTCATCAAAACTTCAGTGTCCGTATCCCTTCTTCTTGTTCTCTCTGACCTACTGGACATCATGGGCAGTGACTTTGGGACATTTATCAGACCACAGCTAAGACTATAAAGAATTACATGGCAGATCCCTGTAATTTTGGAGAAATGCCAGCAAATAGCTATGTTTAGAGCGTGATATAGCCTTTGACTACGGATCTAGACAAAATTACTGATCATGATGTTACTGGGAGGCGGCTCAAGGTTTCAAGCCTCTCCACCCCTCCGTTCTTCCCCAGTCAAAAATATTTCAGGCCAGGGACAAAATTCAGGCCAGGGTCAGAAAAGGTTTAAACACAAAAAGTGAGTTTATTGAAGGGAATTCTCTTGAAAAGAACTCCAAAGGGCATTAAAAAAATAAAATGCAAACCTGCCAAACCCCACACTCTCTGCCATCGAGCCAATTCTTACTCAATGTGACCCCCTGTGGGTTTCTGAGGCTAACTGCTTACAGGAGTAGAAAGCCAGTCTTTCTCCTGAGGAGCTGCTGATGGTTTTGAACTGCTGACCATGTGGACTGCAGCCCAACACATAACCACTACAGCACCAGGACTCCTCTGAAGACCTGGTGGACCCTTTATTGTGCTAATTTTAGATTTCCTACCATTGGCTGGCTGTCCAGCAGATGTTCTGCTATTGGTTGATCCTCTGTAGTGTGCATCCTCTTTCCAGGTATGTGTGTCTCTGCACCCCCGAGCCTCAGAGTTGATGTTATGCCCTTGACTCCAGACCCCAAATCCAATAGTCCAGTCAGACATTTTAGGGGTAGTGTGAACATCCCGTCTTTCTCCACTCAGCCATTTCACTAACTCTGGTCTCTTCCATTGATAACGAAATGTGTCTTATCTGCCTTTCCCCTCCCTTTGTGCTGGAGGCTACGTGGGGAGACACAGCGCCACCTCTCCTCTGTGTTCAGTTTCCTGTCCTCTGCACCTTGTTCCTTTTGCATTGCAGTCTTGCCAACAATGGGATACGCTGGCTGTTGCCAATCAAACTGCCCCAAATAGAGCATGATATAATCCATCAAGACAGACATTTGAGCATGCCACACAACATGCCATGGTCAAGGGAACCTTTATACAAAGCCTTAAACTTGAGCAGAGATTGAAGTTTCGAATAAACTTCAACAGCAGATTCACATGCCCATAGCAGGCGAATGCAGACTCATTTAAAACCATTGTTTCTTTGTAACATTCATAAACTTAAGTTTTTACATTTGTTTTTTCATTATCGGATTCTGAAGGAAATGATCACAAAAAGTGATCTATGTGAAACTGAGTCTATGAAAAATGTTGAAACTAGCTTATCATTATATGAGTATTGACAATTGGTTAGTATATCTGATTAGTTGTTTATTAACTGAAATGGGAAGAGGCAATATAAGAAGGTATTTAGATAGAATGGGATCATATACAAGGGGCTTCACATCTCATGGGAAAAGGTGATTAAAATATAATGGAATGCTTCCACAGTTTTTGAAGCTCTGTTTTTACTGGTAGGGGTATGTGAAGAGTCAACCTACTGCTACTTTATGATGGAAATATAACATAGTTTAGAAAATCTTAGTGAGAAGAATTGGATAGTTTGTTAAGACATAGCTTAACTTGAAGCCCTCTGTAGCTATGGCTCTAAGATGAACCCTTGCACAGAGAATCCTGGGATTGTGTCTGGCCCCCTTCTCAAAGATTCTTAGCTGAGTGCTATGAATCTCACTCAGAATTTCTTTGGCCCCTCATTAATAGCCAGCCCCTGCATACCTGGCCTCTCTCCTCAAGATTTAGAGTCTCTAGAAATGCAAAGCTCTGAATATACACTCCTTGTTAAAACAGAACTTTATTTTCCCAGTTAGGGTCTACATTCCAACACTGGTGTCTGTCTGAAAAGCCCTATTTGACTCAGCCTTTTTATCCACCCTGAGAATGAAGAAAAGGGAGAAGGCAATCATTAGAGAAACTACACCAGCTGTATTTTCCCATGCATTCACATATAAGCTGAGAATCTTCTGAATTCGCCTGGCTCCTGTAACTTGGTACCGGTGACTAGTTGATGTGGGCTCTCTTTGTGCTCCCCATGCAACAGTATGAGGCAGGGCTTCACACAGAACGAGATAAGAAGCACCCAGTGCAGGTTTAAAGCACTGAGCTAATGAAGATTTGTTATATGCCTCAGTCAACTAGACAAAACCAATCTCGGTCCCCAACAGTTACGGTAAGGTAATTCCTTGCCAATTCTGGCACATTTACATAATGTGGAATTGATTTTACCTTCTGGCGAAAACATAAATTTTTGTCATCGAAAGTATTGTATTGTCTTATACTAATTCAATTTGGGTGTCAGCATCATTACTTGTCCGAATGACGAAATAAATTTGGAAGAATATAGAGTTTTTTTATTTTTAGTAGATAGTAACACTTAATAAAGCAGTTTGCCACCTGAAACTCAGCAATATAGAGCTATGAAAACCACAAACTACCTTATTTCCTGGCTCACTAATAGAAGACTATGAATGTGTTACAATGTGATAAGACCTGATTTCAGTCAGAATATGAAATTTTAATGTCCTATAATTGCATATTTCTTTACATACTTTTTTTCTTTTCCCTGTTCCTCTCTTCCTGCTTTAAAAAAAAATTCTTTTCTCTTTTTGCATTCTTCCTCTCTCAGAGAGGAAACCGTAAGTGAGCTCCGGCATGTTCTGTCGGCACTTGTTCATTTTGTG